TGCGTCTGTGATACATGCTATCCATACAAATAAGGGATGTGAAAACCTCGCCGTATTCCGAACATTTCCGGTAACTTTCATGTCTATACCGAATATGTGAGGGACCTATGACTCGCAGTGCTTTCCGGATAGATTAAAAAAATCTCACCAAAACAATATACTAATCACCGAAAGCCTACAATCCACCAGTTCCTCCTTTCTCAATGTCTCCGCATAGAAACGCTCGTTTTTTTGCCAAATATTACCCCTACAACACTGACTTCGCCTTGGATTTACTATGTAGAACCTTGGAAATTGTTGACACAAACGATTGTACTGAGTGAATGGGTTGTAAGTGATCGAGCCATTGGTCTGGAGATTAAATAGTGCACTACGTTTGTTGAGCATGGAAGTGTTTACAAATTGGTGGATAAAAATACCGTTTATTCCAAGACCTGAAACTATATACTCACATGTTAGCACATGGAATAAATAACAACACTTCTGTATACAAACAATCGCCTCCACATCCAGATCACCAACATACCGTCTGAGTGTTTGCACCTTAAAGATCATGTGCGGATGTTTTACTTATATTGTTGTACTTCTGTGGGAAAATCAAACTGCCTCAATGTATCCAAGTGGGCACTGCAGGCGGCTGAACAACGCAAACCATATACGTGTCTTTGTTTCAACTGTCTGCGTGATAGACGTTACTTTGACAAAGATACATGTAACAATTCAGGAGTTCAAAACTACAGACACGCAAGCGGCCGTAACTAGATCTGTGATAACACTGGTTAAGGGTGTAGGGAAAATGGTACTATCCGAAAAAATAACACATCATCTGCGACAGTTATTTTACATCATGGGTAGATGTATTGCTTTAAGAAATAGCATTCACTTACGCGTGTACCTGTCATCATGACCGGTAACAGACATGGTGAACCTGTGCTCATAGAACAGCGATTAGTCGCCTAAACCTCACCATCCGCAACTCAAATCTCCAAGTCACGCATCGAGGAAATTAACCCTCAGATGTGCGCGGAAAGCACGATTGATTCAGAAGCGTCCCGTTATCCAGCCTACACATCAAAGGGATGCATTGCACTTGTATTACTTACAAACCGGAATCCGCTGAGGCTTTCTGTAGACTTTTAACACTTGTCAGTAACAAAAGTGGTTAAAATATTGTAGGTTGCTCAGGTGACCAAAAATCGAAACATCGGAAACTGATGCGTTTAAACACTTGACAAAGTGGCCGATACAAAAGTGACAGTCGTGAACTGCCGTGGATATCGCAACTTGATGTTTATGCGTAATGAAATTTTGGCCATCGTTGTGATCCAACATGTATTCAAAATTTGTCATCTAATAAATAAATAAATGTGATATATTCCTCGGTGATTCGAGGTGCAGTCCAACTATGTGGTCTGATCAATGTGTAAAACAGGATCGCAAAATATAATCAATTTGTTCACGCTTTTTACAATGGATCCAAAACAGGTACTAAACTAATTGGCAGGATTAAGGCATTAAAGAAATTAAAAACCAGGAACATTAATGTAAGCAGATTTAAACAGATGTCCAGTTAAAGTAATACGGCCACTCGTGGAACCATCCCCAGGGGGACCTGCTTCCATGCAAGGTATTCCCTCCAAAGTTTTTGTCCACACTTCCATGCAATAACTGGCCGTGTGCCGGTGTGGCATAGTAGCATATGAGCCATCACCTGTTTATCATATGCTCTGTTCTTTTTGAGCTGCTTTTGTACATGTATTATGGGCCATGAAGCCTCAGCCCAGTCCGTCATGCGGATCATTCTATTATGGCACATTTTATACGCCAGTCATTTTTCTAGTGTTGTTTTGTCTGTACCCGCGACTGCTTCAACCCACTTCTGATGATGGAAACACAAACATGGAGGAACTGGATCTAGACTTATCCATGAAGGAAAACAACAACAAATATGTAATATGCTGCGTAACTATAAAAAAACAGCCAGAGCACTGAAAGCGTGCCATCAAACTGAACAACAATCACACAAGTCCAATGAAAGCAAAGTGATAGCGTAAAGGACAGAGTGTAACTGTGGTACGAATCCAGAAACAACCGTAAACAGCCAATGAGTGTAAGGAAATGAATAAACAAAGAAAAATGAAAGACTGCTGTTATCAGCCTCTAGGTATACGTAGCTAAATTATTAATGATCCACTAAAAAACTTCGCCATTCACCGCCTAACCACTTGCTGCGGAGGTTTGATGCAACCTCTGTTGCCGCTCACTATGGTTGCCTTAACCGGTTGCCTGTCAAATACACAATTTGTTAGGAATGACATCATAAGTATGGTATACTGCGACACGTTCCCCACTTTAAGTTAAATTTTTTGACTAAGCCATATTGCTTTCTACCGCTTGTTTCAAATTGGTTTTTTCTCAAGTAAGTCACACACGACCCAGCTAAGCTCGTCCAAGCATAACTCGCAAACTGCTGTACGAAAACCCTTGTATTTCTGTTTCC